AGTCACCATTACTTTGCATATGTGGCATAATCACTCCTTCTTCTCTACCCAAACACACTCCTTCATCATGTAGTCACCATTTTCTTTTCTATGCATCATCTGTCACTTGGTGAAATTCTTTATTGTGTCTTTCTCTGCTCTAGTTTGCTTTCACTTGCTATGGTAAACACCATGACCAGAAGCAACTTGACAAGAAAAGGGTTTATGTCATCTTACAGCTTATAGTCCATCATGTGGGACACTCAGAGCAGGAACCTGGAGGCAGGAACTGAAGCAGAGACCATGAAGAGGTGCTGCTTACTGGATTGATTGCTCAGCTTGCTGTCTTACACAACCCAGGACCACCTGGCCAGGATAGCACCACCCACAGTGGAGGCTCACCCTCCCATATCAATCATTGATCAAGAAAATCTCTCCATAGACCTGCCTACAGGCCTGTTTGATGAAACATTTTCTTAATTGAAGTTCCTTTTTCCCCAGATGACCCTGACTTGTAGCCAATACTCTTCCTGTTGGAACCTAAACTCTGAGACTTTGAGTTTGGCCTTCAGCACACATCACAGTCCCTGATGCCTTGTTAGGACACACACACACACACACACACACACACACACACACACACACACACACACACGAGGGAATGGCTAGCTTGGTAGTCCTTGTTGGAAGAAGCAGTTTGACATGATAGAGTCTTAGTTTTCAATAATGAAAACCTCTAATCAGGGAAAAGGCTACTGCCCCAGAAACAGCCAAAATCAGAGCTTTCTCTACATGCTTGCAAATGAACCAAGCAAGTGGTTTTGCTTTCTGTCAGTGAACAAAATTAGAAGCGTTTGAGTTTGCATGTTTCCTGAGACATTAAATTCTGAAGTCCCTATTAGGAAGGCTAATGTAAAATAGGAAGGCCAGGCCTTCACAGACCCTCAAAAGAAGCTTCCAGTTGACACAAAGGCTGTATTCCTGGCAGTGATGTGACATTTGTTTACTGAAAGCAATGTAAGTTCCCAGATAGCCAAAAATAGACAAGCTCAATAGCATATCTACCTGTTCTGCACATAGCACGGCCCAATACCAATCAAGAAGGCATCTCCGAATCATGGAATAATACTATAATTGAATAGCCCTGAGGAAACCAGTACTCACAGGGGCATGAAGACAGGCTTCTGTAAATTCAATGATTAATCTTAGGCAATAACAAATGACTCAGCTCCTATCCTCATGCCAAGGCTTATTAGCTCAACCCTCCCTTCTGCAATGACAGAGCTGTTAGATGCTCCTTAAGAGCCATTTATTTGTTGTATAGATTATCTGAAACTTGTGCCAATTCCAAGATTCCTTTCAAGAGACTGGCATGGTGGCACAAGCCTATAATCCTAGCATTTGGGAAGTGAAGAAATGTGGATGAGGAGTTCAGGGTAGTCATCAACGAAACAGTGTGTTTATGGCCAGCCTGGGAAGCTCAAGACCCTGTCTCAAAAACAAACAGAAGAAACAAAAAAAATATTTAAGATGCATCGTGTTGGGTATAACGTTTAACAATAATCAATGCTGAATTGGACAGGGTCTGAGATGACTCCATTTACTACACATGGGTTCAGTCACTGACGAGAGGAAGAACGGGCCAGCATACTGGCTCACACCTATAATCCAAGCATTTGGGTGGCTGAGGTAGAAGGATCACCCTAAGTTTGAGGACAGTCTGGGCTACAGATTAAGGCACAAGTCAGCCTGGGCTAGAATGAGTCCCTGCTAGGCAAAGGAAAAAAGTGACTGTGAGAGCAGATGAGTGAAGTATGTGGGGATATGGTAATATGGTGTGTGTACATTCAGTTGAGATCATTTAATAATATTGCACTATTGATAAAGCTAGATATTTGGTCTATGAGTCAGTGACTATATTTTTAAAACCTGGGCGAGCAACATGATTAAGGCAATGAATGTATTTGTGACACCAGTTCTGATGGATTCACTCAGCTGTAAAATGTGAGCAGAGGGCAGGGCACGGTGACTCGTGCCTTTAATCCCAACACTCCAGAGGCAGAAGCAGGTGGATCTCTGTGAATTCAAGGCCAGCCTGGTCTACAGAGTGAGTTCCAGGACAACTGTCTCAAAAACAAAACAAAACAAAGTTAGTAGGATAGAAGTTTCCAGCTTTGGTTGTGTGGCAGCATCACCTAGGGAGCTTTGGGGGTTACTGATTCCGGGTTTGTTCCTCAGAGTGTTTAACTCACACCATCTCTCAGAGCTTTGGAACCTAAAGTTGAAAAAGTCCCCCTTGGTGATTCCGCTCACTGGGAACCTCTGTAGTAGAATCTTACAGTGTTTTCCTAGTTCCCAGAGTTCAGAGTCACCCAAATTCCAAAGAAGATCAGTACCCAGGGCTCCTTATTTGCATGTCTTGCTTACAAATCGCTGTGACTAATTTTGGAATTACGATCTTCTTCTTCATTTTCTTCTCTTTCTCCATCTTCTTTGGAAGTACTGGGGATCGAACCCAGGGCCTCACATATGCTAGGCAAATGCGCTGCCACTGAACAAGATTCACAGTCTTGAATTTCTTTTCTTAAAGCTCCCTAATTATAAAGGATTCAGTCTCCATAAAACCTAAATCCGCCTCTAACCAGAAGCTTCACTAAACTTAGAAACCTACAGCCATAGGGCAAATCCAGCCTTCTGCCTGCTTTTGTATGGCCCACAAGCTAAGAATAGTTTTGATGTATTTAAATGGTTGAGAAAAAAATCAAGAGGAGTAATACTTCATGACTTGTGAAGTTTACATTTTGGTGTCCATAAATAAACACCAAAATGTGTTTATTTGTGTTGGCTCCATTCATTCACTTATGTATTTTCTATGGTTGATGAAGGGCCACAGTGATGGGGTTGGAAAACTGTAATAAAGATGGTACGGCATGCAAAATTTGAAATAGTTACTATCTGGCCTTTTACAGACAATGTTTTCAAACCTCTGACTTATAAAATCAAATTATAACATAGACACAACAGAAAAAATGATTTGAAAGGATTGCTTTATTTAATAATTTTTTTTAAAAAAACCTGACAGAATTCTTTAACACAACTTACAAACACTGCCAATTATAGAAGTGAGAAATTTGGTTTATGACAATTTAGCAGTCATTAAATTTAGGCACAACCTTAATGGAACTGTAGCAGTGTATTGAACATCAGGTCCACTGAGTCATGTCTAGTCTGTGGACTGGAAGCCACAGTTAGTAAACGAATTCAGGATTGGCATAAGTAAAAGCCCTCCACAGTGGAATTATAAAGAAAATCTTAGAGAATGTTTGTAAAAGACATATGCAATTAGATTCACCACTAACCATAAAATAGTATTTCTCTGAACTAGGCAAAATATAATGAAATGTTGCTAACACTACATATCAAAGTTCCACTCTGAGGGTGGATTAGTAAACCAGCCACAACAGGTCTACAAACAACATTAAAAACATGGTAACACTAATGATCAGCTGCACTAGACAAGAATTGTGACAGAACATCGAATTTTGGCAACAAAACAGATTAAAAATATTGATTTAGCTGTCACTCTTTACAGAAATATGACAAAATTGTTTGCAGAGCTGCAAGGGACACTGTGAAGGCTTGGGGCCTCTGAAAGGCTTGAGGAGGAAGGTTTATAGAGGCGGCCAACGTGGCAGCTGGGCAGTGTGACTGCTGACCCGGCGGTTTCTAGATAGGGCAGACAGCAGGTGGAGGGAGAGTTAGACCAAAGGACAGGCCAAGTGGGAAGATCAGCAGTGAGGCCATGACTGGGTTAGGAGGTCAAAGATAAAAGCGGAAGCTTTGTTATCCAGCTGACTTAGCAGAGCTCATGTTTGGACTGGCCAAAATCAATGGCGTCCCTTCACTGACTCCAGGGCCTGGTACTTTGTGAGGGTTCATGTGGTCTGCTGTCACAGCTGGCTGTTTGGCAGGGATCTTTTGGGAGAGCATAGTTCCTATGTTTCAAGTTCACCTGGGAATACCCCAACTAGAGTCCAGTGTTCCCATTTTCCCTCCCTTCCCTTCCCTCCCTCCATCCCTCCCTCCTTTTCTTTTTGCTTACCTTCTTGTGGTGCCAGAAACCAAACACAGGGCCTTGTGCTTTCCAGGGAACTACTCTGTCATCGAACTACACCTCCAGCCCCAATTTTTCCACCTTCATCACACTAGAGGAGACTTGGGAGCAGTTGGGGTAAGAGAAGCATTAATGGAGAGATTTAGAAGGCAGGCGGGGAAGAGGATGGCAAGCGGTGTTTGGAGCATCTGCTACATGTCAGGCACTTTGCACATGCTGTTTGGTTATCCCCGCTTTCCTTCAAAGTAAGCATTGGTCCAGCAACTGAGAGATGAAGAATTGCAGAATTCCTAAGTGCGGGTGCTAAGGTGTGAATGCAAGTCTGTCTGCCTGCCTGTCTGTCTTTCCAACTCACCATGCAGCTCCAGCAGTGCTCCCCTAGCAGAAAAACACCCAGCAGGTAAGCACAGCGTCACATCTAGGCTCTCCTGCTTTCAAGGCAACGCTTATCAGAGCTACAAAATAAACGTCATCTAAGACCCTTCACTGATTAACAATAGTCTCTCTAAGGCTTTCTTTACCCATGGCAGTCTTTCTTAAAGCAGCGTTTCTAATTTTGAATCTAGGAAACGTCCAACATTTGGTGGCTCTGCGATTTTGCAGAAGCCCCCAGGTTAGCTGCCAACGCTGTCCCTTCCTGTGTGCACAGTTTTGCTGTTGGCTGCTCCAGATAGCGCCCGGTCCCTGCAGTTCAGCATCTTTCACCTCAGTCCAATTAGGAAAGTGGTTGCAGTTCTCAGCCCTCCCTCCCCTGGGGGTTTCTTTTCCGGGGCCATTAGAGTAATGAGTCACGTGATCTTCCCTTAGGTGAAGGGCAGGGGCAAAAACATCTTCAGAGGGATTGTCACAAGCACTTGGAAAACAGTCCCACTCCCACCCCCACCCCCCACCCCCGCGGAGGGGGATACACGCTGCATTTGGAAATGCAATAAATCAACCGGCTACTTTGCAGATAATTCTATTTTCCTCCATAACTTTTATCTCCGTCCCCTCCCCAGAGTTTAAAATGGCTACTCTTTTTCCCGAGTCACAGACCACTCAGAAAAGCTACCGGAAGAAATTGCAGTCAGTAATGCCACCTTAAAGAACCCTGTCAACTCTAAATTTAGGTTTCCCTTGTAAACCTAGGCCTAATCTCAGATTAAACAAAGCAAATGGCCCCTAAGTAGCCGGTGTCTTTACGACCTCGGTGTGTTCATGCGTACACAAACTGGCTTCACCCCAGACAAGCTGCCAGGCTTTCCTAATTTGCAGTTCAGGAAGCTGCCTTCCAACCTAGCAGAGGGAAAGGGGAGACTTATTTCATCTAAACGGCCATTCTGTAATTACAGGATTTGGGTTTTGAGTCACTTCACTTTACATGACCCAGAATTCAACTCGGAAAATTAAAAGAACAGCATTTTCAATTCCACTTATGAAAATTAACGTCTTAGCTAGTGGAGTTAGTAACGCTGAGGGGAAGGTAGCATACATTGTGAGTCGAAGTAACACAGCCTTATTCCAGTGCTGTTAAAAATTTTAGTTATTACCATTGTAAGAAGTAATTCATGTATTTCTAGGTTTGTGAGGACATGATATCCAGAAGGTGAACCATGGGGGAGAGCTGTATTAGGATTCCACCCAGGGTGTAACCTCAGTAGCTTATCAGATCTAAATAAAAGATTGATGATGATTCTGAGTTTAAAATTTAATGTCCAAGCGACCTATTAAATTTTACATGACAAGGCTCTCCGCTCTGCTGTAAATCAATAAAATTGATTATGCTCTCATGTCTCTTATAAGACGAAGAGTATGTTGACTTTAGTGTGCTTTCTTTGAGACGGGCATCTTTACTTCTTCTGTCATTATCATGTCTCAAAATTTTATTTATGAGAAAATTTTATGAGCAATTAACATGTATGATACTTCATACATGCCACATTAAAATCCTATTCTGCTAATCGTCTCCCCCCCTATAAATTTCTGATAACCATTGGATTTGCTGAAACAAAGCCATGTGGTAACTGGATATACTGGAAGTCCAGGAAACAGTTCTCAACTTTTAATTATGTTGAAATGTATCCTCTCCCTGAGAAGGGAGCATTGGGCATGGACACGGCACGGCTATGAAGAAGCAGTGCCCGGTAATCACAGATAGGGCACCTTCCTTGTAAATAAACGTTTAGCGTCTGTTGATCCAACACCGCCGCAGTTACCGGGCCAGCCTTTCCCCAAAGGCAGGTTACAATTCCCAGGAACCCTCTTTGATGAAGCCCATTTCTCAGATGAGTTAGCAACTGTGGAGAAGGTAAATGACCTTTTTTTGAGTTCCAAATGGACAGGGAGACCGAGGCTCCTGAAATAACACTCAGAGGTCACGGTTGGCAACATTTATTTCCCCCTGCATTCTGTCATCAGTGTCCCCACCCATCCCTTACTGCCCTGCTCTCCCCTACCACCCTTGGCAGGGGAGGGGAGGGCAGATAAGTCTGAATAAGGCCAAAGTAGATACTGTATACCCTTGTCACCAAATTGTATTTCTATAAATGTGTGAGATAGAGTATTCAGTGTGTAGACTGTTCAGACGTGTGGTGTATTTGCAGTCAAGTAATGAAAGATGCCACTGCAAGAAATAAAGCCTCAAAAGTGACCACAGGTAATCATTAAAACATTGCGAAACAACACTATTTTTAATAGCCAGAAACTAGAAGCAGCCTAGATGCCCCTCAACTGAAGAATGGATAGAGAAAATGTGGTACATTTACACAATGGAGTACTACTCAGCGAAAAAAAAAAAACAATGGAAACTTGAAATTTGCAGGAAAATGGGGGGAACTAGAAGAAACAATTCTGATCGAGGTAACCCAATCACAAAAAGACAAACATGATATGTACTCACTCATAAGTGGATTTTAGACATAGACTATAGGATTACCAGCCTAAAATCCACACTGCCAGAGAAGATAGTAAACAAATAGGACCCTAAGAGAGACGTACATGGTCCCCTGGAGAAGGGGAAAGGGTCAAGATCCCCTGAGCAAACTGAGCAATTCTTGGACTTGAACCCATAGCAAGACCAGCACTCTACTACTGAGATACATTTCCTAGTCTTCCCTGACCCAACACTATCTTGCCCAGGTTGGCCCTCAATTTTCTATAAAACCCGTGTTATTGAGTTAGAATGTACCATCCTCCTGTTTCAGCTTCCCAAGAATTTGAGATTATGGGCATACATTATCATGCCCAGATTTGGATTAATGTTGTAGGACATCAAGTTATCTAGAAAGGACATTCTAAAGAACAATAATCTTGTATACAAATGAATGGCTAAAGAATATGTAATATATACACAGAACAGAATTTTATTCAGTCATAAAGAAAAATGAAACCACTATATCTGTAGGAAGATTGTGCAGTAAGTAAGTAAGATCACCATGCCAAGAGAAATGAAAGGGATCATAAGAAGGGAAGAATGGATCTTAGAAGACTATTGGGGGAAGGAATGAGACCATCAAAAGAAAGGCAGGGGTAGACAACTAAGTATGCATGAAAACGGTGCAGCAAAACCCATTACTTTGTAGGCTAGCTTTTAAAATTAACTTAGAGTGAATATATAAGAAGAAATATTTCATTCACATTTTTATTTTATACTTATCTTTCCCTTTTATGAACAGTTCCTGATTTTTTTTCACCAATTAATATTTTTACTTATGAGCTGAGAGATGGCTCAGTAGGTAAGGTGCTTACTGCCAAGCCTGACAACCAGGGTTCAATTCCTGGGACCCACATGGTAGGATGAGAGAACCAACTCCTGAAAGTTGTCGTCTGACCTCTACATGCACACATGAAAGAAAGAAAAGGGAAGCATGCACACACACACACACACAAACACACACACACACACACACACACACAATAAATAAAAACAAGATTTTAAAACTTTTTACTTAAGAATAGTCTTGGGGATACATACTTATTCTAACACAGTATTACTTACTCTTAGTTTTTACACTAAACCGAATTATATTAATATATTTCCCAAAGGCTAAATTCCTTATGGGCCTACAAGGCATTATTTTCTCAAGCCATTTTCATATTGCTTTCGATTATTTTATGTAAAATTTAAAAGTAGAGAAATATTTTTCCTTAGACATGGATTTTTAAGCTTTCTTTCTGCGTGTAGTTGTTTGCAGGAATTCCTGAAATGAATCATAACATTTTGCCTTTTTGTCCCTTTATGTCACTGTCTTCCCCTCCTCCCCCCACCAACAAAACTCTTTTGTCTCCCCACCTCCTCTTTACCTCCTCACCTCCCCATACTAACAGTCAGCTAGTGTGCTTCAAGTTTTTACTGCAAGCTAATATTGATGTAGAAGAAACTCAAAGCAATAGAAGTAATGTTCTAGAGAATTTCCTAATAGATTTACTTAGGAGACATTAAATCATACCAAGTAGAAATTAGCTAGGGGAGCGCTGCCTCCCAAATACCCCAAGGATAAATAGTCTGCTAACCAGGCTGGGTTAGAGATACACTAATATCTCTACTAGCATTTGTTCCCCAGGACTGACCAAAGAACATGACTCAAACAGATCAAAGGGGCAGTGCAGGGCCACCATGCATGTTAAGTCTGGGAGTGCCACACGTACAGTACAGTTCTCTTCTTGAGAAAAGCATACTTCTACCAGGTGGGCAAGGTGATCCTGAATAACAACTGTAGGAAAAGAAGAATACTGCTGTACTTATGGAATAAATCTGGCAATGTCTTTGCCATATAAATCTCCCATCTGCCCAAATGACCAAACTTGCAGTCTCCTGTCTCTGAATTGTTCAAAGTGTAATCTGGGGATGGGACCTGAGTGAGATTTAGGGAGGACAGTGTATATGGAATGCATAAGCTTAAAATCTTCTGTTCGAACCCAGCCCTTTGAGCATTAGCCATTGATAGACAAGCACTATTGAAGAGCTTTTCCTTCATTGATCTCTAAGTGTGGGAAGTGATTTATCAATAGCATATTATTCCTATTATAATATAACCTCACTTTGAATATAAATTATGTAAATGTTTTTACCTTTATCCTCATAGGAAAGGAGGGTACGCACAAGTAGGTGGAAGTTTCTGTCCCACCCACCAATTCCCAAATAACCTACATGGAGACGCAATATAAATTATAAATGCTTGGCTAATAGCTCAGTCTTGTTTCTGTCTAGCTCTTACAACTTAACTTATTTCTATTCATCTCTGTGCTGCCCCAAGGCTCGTGGCTTTTACCACTTTCCCATTTTCATCCAACTCGTGTTCTCCATCTGGCTGGCAACTACTCTGACTACACCCTTCTTCACAGCATCCCTAGTTCAGTCACTCCACCTATTTTTCCTGTCTGGTTATCAGCCAATCAGCTTTTATTAAACCAATTTGAGTGACAAATCTTTACAGAGTACAAAAGGAGTATTCCACAGCACACACACTTCCATGGAACAAAGGTCCTCCTCTCAAAAACACTAAATATATTAAGGGAAAAAAGCACCATGAGCAATAACCAACAGAAATAATAGATAACATTATCATTAAAGCACTCCGAAGATTCCAGATATTAACTATCTCAGATACAAAGTATAACAATTATGTTAATTTTAGAAAAATGTAAGGCAATCTTGAAAATGTGAGCAGGCAGTGGGAAGCCATGTTTAAATGTCAGAAAAACATATTTTACTTTATTCTGACACAGGGTTTCATGCATCCCAGGCTGGCCTTGAACTTACTATGTTGATGAAGATGACCTTGAACCTCTGCCCCTGGGCCTGTAGGGAGGCAGAACATTATGACAGAGAGGGGATACAAAGAAGAGCCATTCACCTCATGGCTTCCAGGACACATGGAGAAGAGACAGGAAGGGACCAGCTCAAGATAGAACATGCCCCCAATGACCTACTTCTTCCAAGTAGGCCTTACCTCCAGAAGTTTCTACTGCTTCCCAAAATAGCATCATCAGCTAGGGAACCAAGCCTCAGGGGACATTTCATACCCAAACAGTAGCAGAGACAAGAGCGTTGTAATGTATTCAAGGTAAGTTCTTAGTGTACTCTTACATTGTATGGGGACATTGCCACATAGATTCATGTCTTGACGACTCTATGAATAAGACCACCACCTAGAAAGACTGTCTCCCATGTTTTTGGTTATAGTGGTGGCTTATACACAGGCAATCCTCCTGGCCCTTTCAGCTTTAGATTTGCTCATTCATGATGTAGACAACAGACGATCTAACAGGCCAGGTTTGCAAAGCTGACGATACTGACATAGAACCGGTTGAGAGCTTGGAGAAGAAGCAATGGTTGGGACGGGATAAACTAGCCTGTGTTTCTTCTCACCTGCCTTCCCACAGCCAAAAGGGAGGTGGAGAGGGTGTGATGCTTACTGACCTCAAGAGGATCCTGCTGCTTAGTGTAGGTCAGCTGTGAGTCCTCCCTAGAACTCTGTCATCGTGTGACTATTTCCTGCCCAAACTATGAGCCAGCAGTAGAGGCACTGGGCTGAGTTCAGCCATAAACACTTCTCTAACAGCCTGTTATTGCTCAAACCACCTGAGAACACTCACTGCCGGCACTCCTGCATCAGCTAGAGCTTTCTGTGCCTAGTAACTGAAAGCCCAATTTACACAGACTCAGACAACAATATTTTGGCTAATAGTCCCACTGGGGATTCTCAAGTTTAAGCACTAAAAATTGATTCTGAACGACTAAGGGCAGTACCAATTTGTTAAAAGGATAGTCCAAAGGCTGGGCAGAAAGGGCACAGCCAAATCTCTCCAGAGAAGTAATCTACAGCCAAATCTCTCCAGAGAAGCAATCTGGTAAACACAGTGCTGATGGACAGGAGTGCTGTCTAACATCCTTTGATGTGGGTACCACAAGAGCACTACTCCATTAAGATGAATTCCCCACTCCTTCGCTGCTCTGTTTCACCAGCCTTGTCAGGGGAGGGAGGGTCAAATGGCCAAGCAGACAGGAGTGCCTGTGATCTAGGAGGAAAGTAGCCTGGGACTGTGACTATCTATCTGGCCCTGACAGTTTCTATGCTAGGAAACATCTCTGTCTTAGGGATAAGCAAGTGGTAAGGGCATCATCAAACCTGGTGAAGTATTTAGAAGCAAGTCCAGGCCTCACATCTGCACCCCCCAGAGTATGTATACCTCAAAAGTTCCACATTTCTGAGCTTAGGCTGACAAGTTCCCACTTTTAGTGTGGTGGTATTTTGTTTGTGCTCTAACAAAGCTTGTCTGGAGATCAGAGTGCGAAGGCAGCCACTAGTTAACCATAAAGGCCAGGCAGTGGTGGCACATACCTTTAATCCCAGCACCTGGGAGGAGGAAACAGGAAATGATATGGCTGGGCAGAGAGAGGAAGTGGTAAGGTAGGAGAAGACAAGAGCTTGGTCCTTTTTGGCTGAGAAGTTGGCTAGGTAAGGTGTAGCCATGGGTTGCTCCTTTGTCTTTCTGATCTTTTAGCATTTGCCCTGATATCTGGCACCAGGTTTTTATTATTAAGGCCAATTAGAACTTGTTCTACAGTTCAGGCCCTACACCATAGGAATCCTGTGAGTAGCCAGTCCCACCCTTAAGCTTCTGGTTGAGTTGGGCTAATTAGTAATTATCTTGGGGCTTGGGCAAAAGCCTTGTCATCCCTCAAGAGTAACAAGACTGTTTCAAAATGAGTTCAAGCTGGTGGATGCTGTAAAGAAAGCATTGTCCCTCCAACTACTTTTATTAGTATTTCAAAACTTTTATTTCTTTTAATTCTCTTGTTTTTCCCACTGGTTTTTAATATATACAGTTATTAACTCCCCAAACTGCATGTTCCATGAGAGTTAGCCTATCTTTAGACTCCTCTTAGATCTTAAAAGCCCTGATGTTCATTCCTAGATCTTTAAACAAGATATATTATTATCATGTTCCCTGAGACTTTGAGGGAGTTTGCCTGTAGAAAATTTTAGCTGACACAGTTTAGGCATCCAATACAGAATAAAGGTTGCTTCTTCATTGTATGGTTGGTCAATCTCCACCATTGAAGTAAAAATAAAAGTGGGTCAAAGAATTAAATGGATAGATTCTTTATCAGTTATTTTCATTTTCACAGAAACTCCTTAAATATATATACAACATAAGAATGAAAGTTTTGCCTATTTGCCTGACAAATATATGAGATTTTCATGAAGGATTTGAACTACTTGGAGGAAAGTAGTCAACTAAATAAAAGTGTTTTTATGTATCTCAGAGCCTGAGAATTGTCAAGAAGAGTCTTTTGAGATGGGCAGCTTTTGTGTGTGTTGCCTCAGGATTTATGTTTAAAATTTCTTTACCTCTTCCTTCCTTCTTACTCTCAATGTTCAGTACCATTGATAGAGCTGGTTATTCAAAAGGATGCATTTCTTCAAAAGTGTGGCTGTTTAGTGTCCAAACTAATGCCCTCTGGGTAAACTGGTCCTGCTCTTTGTAATTGCTGTTTTTATTCTAGTTAAGTATTCAGCAAATTGAACTGCAAAGAAAGTATTGAGAGACTTGTGCAAGCTTGTGCAACTAACTCCCTCACCATCTGGATGTGCCCACTGGGGAGATCTTGTTTCCAGAGGTCTTTGTTCATTGGGAGTTAAATAGTAACTGGTTTAAACAGTGAACTTGAAAGTTTGCCGTTGTGACTAGAAAGTGGACCTGCTTGCTCTGTTGGTATGGCAGAGGTCACTGAAAGCCCAATCCTGCATGGCTCCTTGTATCCCCTCCCTCTGCAATGGGACTTTGCACTTCTCCCTCACAAATGGGTCCTGTGACTGGGTTTGGCCATGTGACTCTGATTTGCCCAACAGTGCAAGACAGAATACTCGTTAATTCAAAGCCCAGGTCAGTGAGGACCCTTGAACTATATATTTTATTACCATGTACCTGCGATATTTTAAGGGATTTTGTTTATAGAAAATTTTAGTTGGTCTTGCTGGGCATGGTGGCTTACACCTTTAATCCTAGTACTCAGGAAGCCAAGGCAGGCAGATCTCTGAGAGTTCAAGGCCAGCCAGGGCTACATAGAGAAACCCTGTCTCAAATAAAACAAAATATTCAGCCTGTCTTAAAACTATTATATATTTATTTATCGTATAGTATAATATATATAGATATATATACACACACACACAATATAGTATACTGTTTGAACACATGTCTACAGATACACACTCCCTTCGTGGGCATGGATGCCGAAGGAGAATATCCAATCAATTACACTTCCTGCCTTACTCCCTTGAGATAGGGTCTCTTCATGAACCTGGAGCTACAGTGGTTGGCCATCCAGCTCTCAGCAATCCTCACATCTCCATCTTGTCACAGGCTGAGGGTGCAGGTGTGCGGGGTAGCCCACCCAGGTTTTTATATGGGTGCTTGGAATTTGAACACCAGTTCTCATGTAATGAGCACTCTTCCCCAGTGAGCCATCTCTGTAGTCTTTGGAAAATATCTTTATTAGTTCTTCTATGAATTTAAGTTAAGAAATAAAAACTGGGGTTGGCCTGATCATGTGAACTTGTTGTTGTGGGATATTAGTGTCAGTGACGTTACATTCATTTATGCTGTAGAATATTTGTTTAATGATGCAAAGATGTGTTGCATTTGTTTAACTCTGAAAAGCTGTGTTATTGGGCCTGCCTAAAACACCTGCTTGGTCCACTAAAAAGCTAAACAGCCATTAGTTAAGGCAGGTGGGAGGGATAGGCAGAGCTAGAAATCTAGGCTTGAAAGAAGAAGGGTGAGGATGGAGAAAAGGAAAAGAGGAGGACACCAGGGGCCAACCACCCAGTCACACAACCAGCCATGGAGTAAGAAGGGAAGAAAGATATATCAAATAAAAAAGGTAAAAAGCCCTGAGGCAAAATGTTGAGGAAGAGAAATGGGTTAATTTAAGTTAGAAAAGCTAGCTAGAAACAAGCCAAGCTAAGGTCAGGCATTCATAAGTAAGAATAAATATCTGTGTGTTTATTTGGGGCTGGGGGGTGCCTTGACCCTCCCCCCAAAATATTCAGCTACAGCCTGTAATCCTAGCTGCTCAGAAAACTGTGGCAGGAAGATTGCAAGTTCAAAACTTGCCTGAGCTGCAGAATGAGTTCAAAGTCAGCCTAGGAAACAGTGAAATAAGACTAGGGCTGTAGCTCAGTGTACTGAAAGAAATAGGGAAGGAAAGGCAAAATTGGGATATCAGCAAGATCACAGATTTTTCTAGCCTCAGAATAGTCATCAATTATCAGTTTTGGCAACTACCCAAAGACAAGGGGCTACAAAACTCCTCATAACTATTGGGAGAGTGTTGTCGTTCAGATTTTGAATGGCCTTCAAAGCCCATATGCTAAAGGCTTAGTCCCCAGCTTGGTACTCTCGAGGGACAGTAAAAACTTTGAGGTAAGAGGACTCCTGGTTCACAGGGGTGAGCCCGCAAAGGAGAGAGTGTTCAAATGTGTTTCCGTGGGAAAAGGGCTATTTCTTGTGCTCTGTGCTGGCACTCATCTGAAGACTGGGGCATAAATAGACAAGCCTGGCCCTTGCTGGCGAGGCATTGACCATCTTACTGGGGCGGGATGGGGCACAATGAACAGGTGAATGAGCAAACCAAGATGACAATTCCAAGTAGTGATAAAAAGTGAAGACCATAAGGGACACCCCCACCCCAAATCCAAGCCCGGTGTTGCACCAGAAACAAGGAAGAGACAAACAGATTTACAAATCTATGCAAATCTAGGCAAAAGCCACAAAAACCCCTGGGACTGAGAAGGAACAGCTGTGGCTTGCTGTGGGCCAAGGGTAGGCAAAGCAGAGAAACTCTGCGACCGTTGGTCGCAGTGGAGGCAGAGTTGTAACTAGTCTCCTTTTCTGACCACCATCTCTGGTAGATCATTGCCTGGCACCACCTGAAGATAACATATCTGCTAGACAGAAGCGCTGGGGTAGTATGGGGTAACAGTGTTAGTGTTGGACTAACCTGGTAACAGTTGTGGCATCTAGAGTCTGAACTGCTAAACCCACGGCCTTCCCACGGTCTAAAGACTAGGGATTGCTGACTGGGACAAGTACAACAGGTAGATGACAGGCAGGAGATAGTGACAGTGACTCCCTGTGGGGCAAGTACACTGTGCCTGCTTTTCTTCATCTGCAAAATGAGGGTTATGCCTCCTCACTGGGTTGTGGTGACTCCTTAGAATGTGTGTGTGTTTGAACCTCTGTCCTGGATGAGCATCCAAGTCCATTCTCAAGCAAGTCTCTAAAAGGATAGAATGAATATCCTCACCACAGAGCCGTGCATGAAATCGGGCAGTTGAATGCATCTCGGGAGAATGGGCAAAGTTCACACTACAAAATAGTAGGGGTCAACTATGTGTACATATGTATGTGACAAATGTACCTGGATCTTTAAACCCGTAGTGGAATGCACCCACAGCAACGAGAAGGAAGTCCCTTCTGGGCTTAAGGTAAGCTGCCTTGTGATAGGGAAACAGGAAATGAGCTCCAAGTAACTTGATAAAGGAGGTTCCAGACTGCCAATTCCCACCCTCCAGAGACAGAAACGTCAGTGGATGCAGGCTTGCCACCTCAGACTGGATAGCAGAGTGATCCGTGTGTCCGGGCTTCTATACTAGCTGTCCCCACTGTGCCCTAACTTGACACTTGTGGTGGTTTGAGTGAGACTGGCCCCTTGAGCTCATATGCTTAAATGCTTTGGCCTCAGTTGGTGGAACTGTTTAGGCAGGATTAGGAGGTGTGGCCTTCTTGGAGGACGTGTGTTACTGGGGGCAGGCTTTGAGTTTTCAAGACTCCTGCCATTTCAAAGGTGCTCTCTGCTTCCGGCTTGGGGCTTGAGATGTGAGCTCTCAGCCACTGTTCTGTTGTCATGCCTGCTGTTTGCTGCTACACTGCCCTGCCATAATGGACTCTTCTCCCTCTGTAACTCTAAGCCCAAAGTAAACCCTTTCTTCTCTAATTTGCCTTGGTGATGGTGTATTCTCACAGAAACAGAAAAAATAACTAATACTTACCCTTCTTAGGCTTCCATCTTCTTAGGCTCTTCCCCGGGATCCCTTGCCCTCCTGAGCCTATGCCATTTGGGCTCTGGGCTCCTGTACTCTTTCCCAGAGACAAGCCAATCTTCAAGAGCACATTTGATGGATCAAAGGCACAAAGCCCCAGTCTTCATTCTATCCTTGGGTGTCTGTTGGCATGGCTGCCAAGTGCAGACCTGTGAAACAGAAACAAAGGGCAATGGCAAGCTGGTTGCCATCTTTGAGATGTTTGAGGGAGGGTCCTGGACTATCTTGATTTCCATCTCTCCCTGTGCTCAGAAAAAGGACAAACCTACAGTGCCCCATAAAATGAGTGAGTTAGTTCACATATGCACGTATGTTTGAGAGTGAGTGCACACACACACATACACATACACATTTAAAAATATGTTTTTAAAAACTATGCTGCTTTCTATGGTAAAACTTTCAACTAGAATTAATAAACAGCCTTAATCAACACCATTTTTTAAATTCACAAATAATTTTCTCACTAGGACTACTGAGGATCATAAGAGTATATTTCTTTCAGTATGTACTGGTGTGTTTGAGAGAGTGGGGGTGCAGATGCTGATGCTGCTAGTGCAGGTGGGAGACAGAAGACAACCACAGGTGTCATCCAGGGATCATCCACCTCGATTTTTAGCTAGGCTGGCTGCCAGTGAGGTACAGAAATCCCCGTCTCTGGCTCTCCAGTGCTGGCATTAGATTACAAGGGCACACACCATGCCCAATTTTTTTTTATGCGGGCATTGGGGATCAAACCATCCTCACACTTTCACAGCAAGCTCTTTACTGATGAAGCCATCTCCCTAGCCTCATGATAATATTTCTTAAGTGTTATATGCAAGATTTTGACTTTTCCCATCTAAAATCTACAACAACCATATGAAACCTCCTGAGCTATCCCATTCTCAACAAAAGAGACACCGGAATCTTAAAAGATCCGATGGTTTTTTAAATGTTACTATTATTGTGTGGGTACACACGCCACAGAAACGGGTACAGTCAGAGGACAACTTTGCTGCATCAGTTGCCTCCTCGCACCTGAACATGGGTTCTCTGTCTCACTGCGGATAAAGTTCATCTTAGTACAAAGTAACTTATGAACCTGGGAACAGCAAGAAGCAGCTGCTGTGTCATTTGCTCCCGGTGAGTGCCAGACTGAGGGGGGGGGGCGGCAGAAGGGTGCCTGAAGCCTCCTGAGCTGGCATACCTCACATGGTCACACCGCATCTTGTGCCTTATGACGGGGCTGGGGGTGGGGGGCGCCTGGGTGGAAGGCGTGCAGTGTAAGGCACGAGGCAGTGTAACCAGGAGCAGCTGGCCCTGGCCCGGCAGCCGCATGGCCGCTGTAGCTGTGGAGTCCTGAGAGCTCCTGTAGCAATGAGCAAAGCATCCTGCCAAAGTCTGAAAGGCGATCGTCCTTGAAGATCAGCTTAGCACTGAGTAGGATCGATGAACTCAGACTGGCAGGACATTCTCACCTGCGTCTCATGCTCACACAGGAGGTTTCTCTTGGTTGTACGTTTAGAAGTGTGATGGCTGGTCATTGGGAAAGCCCGTTTTAACTTCACCGGTTTTATCAGATTACAGTCGTAAATAATAACTTCAGGGAGTTACTGGTTACTGATCCCATCTAATTTTCTTTTTTTCCTCTAGAGGTCCATCGAAGAATAGCCAGATGGCTCAGCGGGTAAAGGTCCCTACTGATGACCTACCCTGCCTTCCATCCCCAGGCTCCCCGTTATAGAACCAGCTCCTGCGGGTCTGCTGAGCTCCACATTCACACGAGCAGAGGCATGCATGCATGCGCCCTCACACACACACAAATAAATATAAATAAATAATGAATTTTTAAAAAGTTCACCAGAGACCCATCTGTTGATCTATAAATCCACCCCGAGGGTGATGGAATAGCCAAATATTCCCATTATAGTTTCCTCGTTATGCAAGTGGTAATCGGCATCTGCCGCCAAATTCACAGGAGAGCCCAAAGTAAGAATTTAAAGCTTTGAGGCATTTGGACTCAGAGAGAGACGCTAATATTTAAATCCACATCCAATTAAACCCAGAATTGTCCATTGTTCCCAGGAGAGCACACAGGCTTAATTCTCTTTGCTACCGTCCCTCCCCTTACCCTATGTGCACACAGCCCTTCTGACCTACTGCAACCCCCACAGACTCACAGGTCCCAACACCCAATCTGCATCCACCTAACAGGTAAGCAGTGTGTGCTCTCATTTCGTTAATCCATGGAGGGTAACACTGGGCATGTCCTTATCATATATCAAGATCTGGGGTACCCACTGGTGATGTTCCCATGGAAGCCTGTGACTACCTAGGCTATGTTCATGGGACTTCAACTAAAATTTTTTTGTTTTGTTTTGTTTTTGGGGGGAGGTGGTTTCAAGACAGGGTTTCTCTGGCTTTGGAGGCTGTCCTGGGGAGCTCTTATAGACCAGGCTGGTCTTGAACTCACAGAGATCCACCGACCTCTGCCTCAACTTATAGTTTCAATACTATTTTTCTTTATTTTCAAAGGACTTTTTTAAGTTCTTATTTAATGTGTATGAGTGTTTTGCCTTCATGTATATAAATAAACTATGTGCATGTCGTGCCTGCAGAGGCCAGAAGAAGGCATTGGATCCCCTGGGACTGGAGATACATAGGATTGTGAGGCACCATGGGATGCTGGGAATTGAACCCTGATCCTCTGCAAGAGCAGTAAGAGATCTTAAACAGGGAGCTATCCTCCAGCCCCGTTAATACTAATTTTCTCATCTCTTATGGCATTGGTATTCCTAGAGCAGTGGTAAGTGTGGTCCCAGGGAATACGGAAGCATGTCCACTACAGAGATTTTAAGAATAACAATGCAGAAGACTATACGTTGATCCACTTTTAATATGATAACACACTAGCAATTGTACATCGTGCCGAATGTCCTTTCTGTCCAAAAGCTTCCTTGACTTAACCTTTAAACAACCTCTGCTCTTGCCATCATTTTGTGATTAACACAATTACCATCCAGCACTGCACACCTTCCATCAGCATTGTTATCTCCAGCCTACCCAGAGAAGCTCTGACACAGATGGGGGTATCAACGCACAATTGTCTGAGATCCAAGTCCTTAATGGCTCAGGACCACTGATGCTGCCAAGGCTTGCCTTGGGTGCAGTTGCATCACCGACCTATGTGGGGCGCTCTGCTTCTGCACTCAAACACTAAATCTGAAATAAGTTGTGGTAGAACAGCGGCCGTGACAGCACCTGAGCAACTAATACTTATATCTTTATCATCAATTTCATTCTCTCATAAAAGCTTTCATTGAGTGTTTGCTCAGGATTAAATGTTAAAACAGCAACACTATAAAATTGCAAGGTGTGATTTTTTTTCTGGCTTGTTAATTCAAATTCACATATGATAGACTCTTGATAAATTGATATTGACTCTTTTTAGTAATCTTTACTATTTTTTTGTTTTTTGTTTGTTTTTTGGTTGTTATTGGGTTGTTTGTTTGTTTTGAGATAGGGTTTCTCTCTGTAGTTTTGGAGCCTGTCCTGGAACTTGCTCTGTAGACCAGGCTGGCCTAGAACTCACAGAGGTCCACCTGCCTCTGCCTCCTGAGTGCTGGGATTAAGGGTGTGGGTAACCACCACCTGACTAGTAGTCATTACTATTAATCGGTAATGCTATTAGTCATTTCTGTAGTCATTAATAGGAAGATATGTATATTTTTTCTTTCTTTTGAACACCAGTAATGTAATTAAGGAGAATAATCAATTACATTCCCTTCTCTTGCTGTGGTAATAATTTATTTTATTGCTTTTTTTTTCAACTGGCCTACACAGTTTGGGCAATCCTTCTTCAGTTAATTCCCTGATTAGTGATAATGGATTGTGGAGGCAGGTGGAGGATCTGTCTCTGTGCGGACACCCAAGGTGCACCCTGAGTGCCAGCTCCCTGACTAGCCAGACGGCAAGGAGGTGAGGATCTGAGAGCACCTCTGCCCCCTGCTGCTTACTGTGAATTTGCTAATGGAGGGATGATCAATCCTTGTTTCACCTAAATCCTATTGTGTTCAGAGATTCAGACTAAGATGTCAACTCTGTGAAGATTAGAATTTAATTTGCATTCACAGACAGCTTCGGAGCCAGTGTGGGCAGTTGACAGGTTTTTATTGAAGGAATGAAGGAGTGTGATACTACTCTATTGGAAAACGTGCTAACACCTCAGCTTGGCTTTTGTTTGTTTTATAGTGCTGGGTCTTGAACACAAGGCCCCTATGCATGCTGGGTAAGTGCTCTGCCACTGACATATATCCTCAGCCCATTCTGTGTGTTTTGTCTGAGTGCTCACAGCTTAAAGTAGGTGCCTTATCAGGAGCACACATCAGGTATTACTTTTTCTGTGTCCTTCCTTCCTGACTCCCCCGACTTTCCTCAGTGTCAGAGACTCAATATTGCAGATTGACAGCCAGCTGATTTATAAGATCCAGACTCAAAGAGCTACTGCAAGGAACTGAGAGTGGCCAAGAAGTTAAAATTCAATAGAACAGCATTTTCATTGATATCTTAACCACATTAGGTTTTATGGTAGTGTTCTGACTAGGTTTATGTCAACTTGACACCAGCTATGGTCATCTGAACTGAGGGGACCTCAGTTGAGAAAATGCTTCCATAAGATGGCATGTAAAGCAGGCAAGCTCGTAGGGCAGTTTCTTAATTGGTGATTGATGGTGGAGGGCCCAGCCCATTGTGGGTAGTGCTATCCTTGGGCAGGTGTCCTGGGTTCTATAAGAAAACAGGCTGAGCCAGCTATGAAAAACAAGCCAGTAAACAGCACCCCTCCATGGCCTCTGCATCAGTTCCTGTGTCCAAGTTCCCACCCTGTTTGAGTTCCTGCCTTGGCTTCCCTTAATGGACTGTGACTTAGGATATATAAGCCAAATAAACTCTTTTCTCCCCAAGTTGCTTTTGGTCATGGTATTTCATCGCAGCAATAAAAAACTCTAAGACGGGAAGGTTAGGGGAGTTACTAATTAAGAAATAAAATGGGCAAGCTGGAGAGATGGCTCAGTGGTTAAGAGCACTGCCTGCTCTTCCAGAGGTTCTGAGTTCAATTCTCAGCAACGACATGTTGGCTCACAACCAACTATAATGAGATCTAGTGCCCTCTTTTGGTGTGCAGGCAAACATACAGGCAGAACACTATACATAATAAATAAATCTTTGGGAGGGAGAAGGAGAAAGATGGGGAACTGTGGTTGGATTGTAAAATGAATAAAAAAAAATAAAGAAATAAAATGTTCACCTGGCAATATAGTGGCACTTACAAGGCAGAGGCCAGCCTGATCCATAAATTGAGTTCCAGAACAGTCAGGGCTACACAGAGAAACCCTCTCTCAACAAACAAACAAAAACCAAAAATTTTAAAAGTGACATAAAAAAATAAAGAAAATGTTCAACTTAATTAAAAGATACTATAATATTGATTATTGCCAACTTTAGTCATTCCTTCCTCACTCATGTAGCCGATACCTAGAAATGCATCCGATGTATTTCACAATCACTGAGCCCTAAGATTGCTATTCTATATGAAGAAAGGAAGGAGAATGTACTAGGGTTGTTAGACCAGGATCTCACTGTATGGCCCTGGCTGGCCTTGAACTCAGAGATCCACCTGCCTCTGCCTCCCCAGTGCTAGATTAATGGAGTACACCACCATATCCAGGACTGTAACTTTTAAAGCATCTGTTCATGTAAGATATCCTTGCAAGAATAATACTGAGCCAGGTGTTGGTGGCGCACGCCTTTAATCCCAGCACTCCAGAGGTAAAGGCAGGCAGATCTCTGTGAATTCGAGGCCAGCCTGGTCTACAAAGCTACACAGAAAAACCCTGTCTTGGAAAAAAAAGAATAATACTGATTGCTAGTGTAAAGATCATAAAAACTGAGCTGGTGAGGTAGCTGTGTGGGTAAAGTGGCTGTCACACGCATGTGAGGATCTGAACTTCCATCCCCAACACCCATGTAAAAGCCAACAGGGAGGCACATCTGTAAACCCAGCGTTCCTATGGAGAGATGGAAAGTGGAGGTAAAAGAACTCCAGGAAGCTCATTGGCTGGTTAACAGGGCATACACAGCAGTGAACAACAAAAGAATAACACTGATCTCAAAGCAAGATGGAAGACAAGGATTTACGCTAGAGGTTTCCTCTAACTTCAACATGCATGCTGTGTCAAGTGCCTGCCTGCACTTATACATACGCGTGCGCGCACACACACACACACACACACACACACACAAACCCTCACACCCTCTCATGTCCACACACACACATATGCACACAGTCACACAGTTCAGCCCTAGTTTGTAAATAAACATTCCAGAGCCCAGAGTGCATAAGCAACTTCAGAAAAACACCTTACCAGTGACTCAGCATCCCAGGATACTGTGAGGACCAGAGCCAGCAATTTCAGTTCCCACCTGTCTCTCACCCTAAACAAAGAGCACTTCCAACTGTCAAACCAAAGCTCCTGATGCTGAGGGATCTTTGCAATGAGAGCTTGTTGAGCTTTAGAGAGGCCAGGAAAAGAACCAGGTTGTAAGACATGTCCCTGTAGCTACTAACAACAAGGCTGGATAACAGTTGGAGATATGCCTGGCAAACTGAAGAGTCATAAAATATTTTTACAATGAAAGCTTGTGAAAAGAAAGCATAGTTTACATTGTATCTACATTGATTATAGAGATGAGGGGTAGAATTGTACAAAATAGGGCATGTTTGTCTCTTTGGGATTGGCTGGACTCATCAGTCCAGAAAGTTTACCTGGGGGCAGGTATGGTGGCACTTGGTGGTCCCCGCAATGGGACTTATGTCGGGGTTTCAGATGAGATCGGTTGCTTTCAGGGTATGGCCATAGACTATGTAGGGGGTTTCAAAACATATTCGGGAACATGAAACAGACTTTTGATCATTTGACCCAAAGCTGTTTCATCTCATTTCTCCCCCACCTTCTGACCCTTATAATTAAATGTGAGACAGCTCAGGATTTTTTTTTCTTCTCATAACATATGAGAAAATCACTCCATTTTCCTGTCTTACCAAATTGACTAAAATTATTTAAGTGCTTCAGAATTATAACTGTTATTGGCTATTGACATGGGCAGATAAAAACACACTGATGAATGGGGATATGAAGAATTGCTGAGTATGGGCCAGGCCTAGTGGTGAGCATCTGACCCAGTACATGGAGGGCAGAGGCAGGAAGACTTCCTGTAACAATCCATGCATGAGAGGAGGTGCTAGCATGTACAGGCCACATCATTTTCTCCTGTAGGCACTGCTGGATCAATAAGACATATGATGCACATGTAACTCAGTGAAACCAGGTCTCCAGCACCAAGATCTTCAACCTCCAAAATCATGAGAAATAATTTGGCGGTGGTGATACTTTAATGTAGCATGAAGAAAACAAGGCAATGGATAAGGGGCAAGTCATAGAATTATAGGAAATGTCAGAGCCAAAACCTTCAAGGATGAGGACAAGAAGGCCAACACAGTCAGGACACACTCACTGTCTCCTCTCTCTTCCCATCTTAATACAGTATCATCTCTTTTCCTATGCTTGATTTCATGCTTGTCTACTGTCTTAGGGTTTCTACTGCTGTGAAGAAACACCATGACCAACCCTTATAATTGAAAACATTTAATTGGCTGGCTTACAGTTCAGAGATTCGGTCATTGTGGAGGGACTGGAGATGAGCAGGCCAACATGGTGCTGGAGAGGTAGCTGAGACTTCCACATCTTGCACAAGCACCAGGCAGTGAACTGATTCACTGGGTGTGGTTTACTGACTCACTGGGTGTGGCTTGAGCATATAGGAGACCTCAAAGCCTGCCTCCATAGTGACTCACTTCTTCCAACAAGACCACACCTACCCCACCAAGGCCACGCCTCCTTGTAGTGCCACTCCCTTTGGGGGCCATTTTCTTTCAAACTACCAAATCGACTTTACATGGGCTTTTACTCTGATGAGGGGAAAGCATCGGATCAAACAAAGGACAAGGTTACAGTTTAGTTCAACCGTCTTTAATTGACTTAATTTTTAACTCTAGAATGAGACAACACTTCACTCATAGAATAGAATAAATGTTCCAATGATCTAAATAGCAATCTGTATTATACAATGAGAAAAGCTGAAGAAAACAGGACGGAGAAAACAAATCTGGATTGGTCATTTCAAAGTTCCCTCCCTTGTAAGCTGGAGATGGAAGACAGCACAATAGGATGATGGCTGACCAGTCAAGGTCAGGTTATCCCAGGCTTGTTCTTTTATGGCAGGATTAAAGCACACAGTTTCTGAAACTGACCTCTTTAGGAAACTTGGCAGTGATCTTTCTAATTCCGGTTCTCCTGAAGTCAGATAAACACCCTGACAGGTAGTTTGCACTTGAGTGCTTCCATTTGAGTTTTAGCCAAGTTTGTTGGGGCCTAGAGCAGAGCATAGTCCAAAGCAATGATCTCCTGCGGTTTTTGTGGTTTTGTTATTTGACTTTGTTTTTTTCTAATGTTTCTCAACATGTATCCCAGGCTGACCTTGAACTCCAGGTCCTCCTGCCTCCACCTCCCACTGTTGAGATTGCAGGCATATGTCATCACACTTGGGACAGGAATAGCTCAGGCTAGCCTTGAACTCACACCATGGCCTATCTGTATCAAGTTGGAGGTTGCAGTCCATCATAGCATGGAAGGCACAGTGGTGGGAGCATGGAGCAGGTGGTCATGAGATGATGCTGATGCTCAGCTGGCTGGTGCTTAGTTTGCTTTCTCCTTTTGGTACAGTCCCAGACCCCAGGCTATGGAACAATGCTACCCACATTTAGGAAGACCCTTTCCACTTCAATTAACCTAATCTTGGAAATCCTTCACAGGCATGCTTAGGGGCTTATCTCTCCTTAATTCTAGAGCTTTTCAAGTTGACAGTCAGCATCAACCATCTAACTCAATTCTGTCACATCAGCAATTCCTGTCATTTTAATATTCCCACTGATTTTTTTCCTGCCAACTTCAGCAAAAGTGCCAAGAGTATACTCAATTAATCCCATCTGAGTCATGTGACCCACTGTAGGCTGATCAGTGAATTCTATTACTCCAGCACCCTTGAGTCTGGAGCCTCTTGTTCACTTTCCCTAGGAGTAAGCCTGGCTCCGAAGGAAGACAGACATTTGTGACATCTTCAAAAGACGATCACTGGGAAATGAGCATAGAACAAATTCAGACCCCGTGAATGTGGATGTCAGTGTGGAGGCCTCAGAAACCTATGGGGCCCCTTGTAGTAGATGAGTACTTATCCCTAACATAGGAATGGACTTTGGGAGCCCATTTCACAAAGAGGAATAATCTCTCAGCCTAGACACATGGGGGAGGGCCTAGGCCCCATCCCAAAGGATATGACAGATTCTTCAGACCCCCCCAGGGAAACCCCACCCTCCCCCGGGGGGCGGGTTTGGGTGGGGGAGGGAGGGGGGTAGGGGGGGGGGGGGGGGGGGGGGGGGGAGGAGGGAAGGGGGGGGGAGGGAGGAGAGAAGGGGGGGGGGAGGAAGAGAGCAGGGTGTGGGTAGGCAGAGAGAAAGGTGTGGGCAGGCAGAGAGAAAGGTATGGGCAGGCAGAGAGAGGGGCAGGCAGGCTCTGGCCCACACCCCAGTGCTAAGCAAAAAAAAAAAAAAAAAAAAAAAAAAACCCAAAACTTTTTTTTACATTTTGTATTTTGGGTTTCTAAGGTTTCATCTAAAGAAAGAGCCTTCAGCTAAAAATCGCCTTTAATCCACTGCACACCACCAGGGTGCCTCCTACATGTGCTTAGGTTTATAATGATTCTGCATGCTTTGAGATTCTGGGTTTTTTTTTTCATTAGATTTCATTATAAATATCTTTCCATATTTCTTTATCTTTTTCATGATCCATTTTATCAACTATTGCCTGGCATTGGTAGACCTTTAGTAAATAATCATGGAATTAATTACATCATTATCTAATAATCATTTCTAATTTCTCTATATTATATAGTATGTTATATAGATAGAGAACCTATTTCATTCATGCATGCATGCCCAGGACAAATTTTTGAATAGGACTGCATGCCCAACACTAGCAGGTAAATGCATGGATGTAATGCTGGGAAAACAGCATAAAAGAAATAACATAGCTCTTTCTTCACAGATCCTGCTATCAAAAGGGGAATCTAGCAAATGAACCATAATCATGATGACGATACGAGCTCTGGGAATCAAAGGGGACTATGGGGACATATAGTAGGGAAACACACTGTAAGTCAGAGAAGGCTGCCTAAAGGAGGACTCAAGGCAGAGCCTAAAGGATGAACACAACAGCCTGGGTCCTCTACACTGGGGACTCAGAGGCAAACTCATCACCGGAATTTCAAGGCCATGGTTTCCAGGCCAGTGAGGACTACACATGAGCCCCTGCCTCAGTAAGAGGAAAGAATATGAGTGTTTGGGGTCCAACATAAAAGATGCTTGGACCAGGAAAAGGGAAGAGAGGAAAATGCAAAACCCAACACTCTAGCCAGTCAGAGAAGTGTTAGCTGGAGAGACTTCCTGGAAGCTGGAGACTGCCAGGCAGGTACAGAGAGGCCAACCCAGTAGGCCTGAAAGCTCACGGAACCACAGGTCTGAGTAGGAAAGTCTGGCTAAGATTAGAAATTTCTGGAGCCAATTCTAACACAACTGTGAACAAGTCTAAGAGTTGAAGACCCAAGGGAACAGAGTCCTGGGGAGGCCCTACACTTATTTCACCTCCAGGGCCTCTAGCGGGTCCCACAGGGAATATGGGAGAAACCTCCCTACACCCCATGCTTCCAGGAAGAAGTTGACACCATTTGACAGTGCCATAGAATTGTATTCTTAGTGAAGCCTTCCTACAGGAAAAAACCCTCAGCCAGGACCTAAACAGCTGGGGTTTTGTCAGATGTAATAATAGTGGGGATTGGATACACTCAAGTGTGGCCCCTCCAGATGCCTGTCCTATGTAAAGAGCAGAACTAGAAAAATGTGAGCTAAACAGGCCTACAGAACATCCCCTTCTCGTTTTTTTATATATGCTAAAGGCATATTTAAAACACTTCCTTTTACATGGCCTATCAAGTCTGGCTAACAGGGGGAAAGTGTGTGTGTGTGTGTGTGTGTGTGTGTGTGTGAGTGTGTGTGTGAGTGTGTGTGAGTGTGTGTGTGTGTGTGTGTTTGATCAATATAATATACATATGAAAAAAAAACATAATCTGGATAGGAAAATGAGAGGCCAGATTCTGAACCAGATAGGGGTTAAAATGGTCAGACTGGAAATGTGAAACAATGCTGGTACTGCTAAGGTGGTCAGGAATTGGGCTTGAGGAGGCAGACTTTCAAAAACATGACTTAGAATTTCCAAGCTCCAGCCGTTCAGCCAGTTACCCTCAGACTGCAAAGGTGAAGCAGAAAAGCTGCTGGGCCTTCGACCCTTATGCTCAAGGTGAAAAGCAGGGAAGCCCTCATCTGCCTCAAAGCCGGAAGGTAAACTGAGGTGATAAATGCATTAACCAGTGCTTCCTCAAACACCCATCCTTAGTTTCGGACCACACAGAGGTTAAAAGCAATGGTGAGTAAATGTGTTTCATTGTCTCTTCCTCAATTGACAGGAGGTGGGAAGCTTCTGCATTCAAGCTTCATGACTTCTGGGTAGAATGCAGTTTGCACAACTCAGCAAAACTACAGCCAGTCTTTGTTCTTTTCCCAGTTTGCCAGTACCAGGCTTTTTCTTTTGGGCCACCAACAGCTCCCAAATCATGATGCAGAGACTTAATAGTTATGAATGCTCAGCCTAGCTTAGGCTCGTTTTCTGGCTAGGTCTTTTAACTTAAAGTAACCTGTTTGTCTTTATTCACCTTCTGCCTCGGGCTTTTTACTTTTTTTCCCTTCTGTATATTTTACTTTCACTCACCAATCTTCCTTTGCCAGTAGACCTCGAAAATCATCAATAAATGGGTCATCAGCAACTTCATCCAGTTGAGTCCTGAGACTGTTAAGGAAAAGATTTTTCAACCCCTCATTTAGATACCTTCATCCATTACAGCTTTATAGATGCTAATACATGTGACTATCCTCCAGTTTGCTTTCTTTGGTAGTGACGTTAAATTTGGCCATATAAGACGGACTAGATGTGACACATGATATGGATGTTAATTGAAAGCAAAGATTGTTTCTGAATAGAATTGGATTCTGAGGAGGCAGGCAAGATGTTTTTTCTGGGTTAGGAAAGATGTGAAATGGTTTCTGTAGCCATTGTTTGGATTTGGAAATGTTCTGCAGTGGGTAGAAACATTGGGCCATAGTTTGTTAATCTCAACTAATGCCTACATTACATTCTCTTTGATTGTTCTTGTTATTATGCTGTTTTGTGAACCTATAGAAAATAAGTGCTTTTTATCTTGAAATTCAACAAATGGAAAGAATAAGCATTCTATGTAGCCATGTCACTGTAAATAACAATTTCTTGCATATTGAGCCATTTTAATTCCTGTTTGACTTTTACGTCTCTGTTGCTACGAAAAATGATCAAAGGAAACTTCAGTTTTACAATCTGTATGCCTAAAAGCGGGTACTACCCTTTATTTTGCTAACTTGTTTAAATGATTCCATTTTGTAAGAATCAGATGGCATTGTGCTTGTTGTACAACGCCATATTTATATGACAAACAGGAAACAGTATTGTATGATATATTTATAAATACTATAAAAATATTGTGTTTCATGCATTCAGAAGCAGTTGCTAAAATTCTC